GAAGAATAACCTCAGTTACTGCTGAAGCTTCAAGAGAAAAGACCTCACCAAAGCAACTCTACAGTCAAGATGCCTGCTCACCTAAGTATAACATAGTCCAAAGCCTATTTAGTGTCAAAATTCACATGAAACAAAGTGTAGCCAGGCATGGCTGCCTTCTTTCAGGCATCTTGCATCTGCCTTTTCCACTCTGAGGGTTTTGCAACTCCATCAAGATATTCTACCTTAGAGGTATTTGGTTACCTCATTTACTATTTCTGTCTGGTTAGCCATGATGGTGTCACAGTCTTATCTACCCATCAGGTAAAAACTAAAAGACACTAAGAATTCCAAAGAAAAGTAACTTTAGTGCACACGTTCTGAGGAGAGAGAAAAGTTTTACATATGAATGCATGTGGGTGTGTACATGCAACACAAAATCTGCAATGCACATTTAACAAGAGATTGCTCTAACTCAGCCAAATCAAACTGTTTAAGAAAGCAATAAGTATTGTGTAGCCTTTTAAATATCAGACTTTGCTATTATAAATGCTATAGCTGAATTTCCTTCCACCAACCCCCCCCCCTCCAAGAAAGCAAAGAACACAAAATACCATCTACTAATGTTAAAATACCAAATTACAAAGAGTTACAGAATTAGGGGAATTATTCATTTTAATCTTTTTTTTTTTTTTTCAGCCAGGTCCTATTCTAGACACTGTTCTGTCCCTACCAGAAATGCAGATCTAAAAGGACATTAGTTTAGAGAAGAAATCCTGAAAGAGAATGAACAGAAACAGTTAAACAGATTTTTAATGGTAAAAAAAGAGTAGACAGTATCTTATAGCAAGCAGTAACCATTTGCTTCCATGAAATTTCAAACAGATTCTGAGCCAAAAGGTATTTTAGCATAAAGAGAGAGAGAGCACAATAAAACCATATTTCCCAAGTATACATAGATTCATTCAGAAGGCTGAATGCAGCTAGAAAAAAAGTATAAATGAAACATGTTAAACATAACTAAGTCTTATATATTGTTATATAAAAATAAAAAGTAAAAAATTGAGAGCCAAACAGTTTTATTCCTTGCCTACTCACTTCCCATTACACTTTTTTCACTTAGGGGGATTACATTTATTTAATTTTCTTTGGAATTGTTGAGGAAAGAAAACAAGTCAACATGTGAAGTCATGTAAATAAAGTGGCAGAAGCCACACAGAAAAGGGCAACTCAAGCATCAGCAACAAGTGCAAATGCCTTGAGAGAGAAATACAGAATTGAAGAAGTCAAAGATTGGAAAGCACAAAAAACCTGCCCCTTACTTAAGGAATTCAGCCTGTTCCTCACTCACTTAGGATAGAGAAAACGCACAGAAACATTCCTCTACTGAGAGCTGTAGAACTGGATCACTGGGAGGAGAAAGGATGGTCTAGCTGTTCAGATGACTCATTTACCTGCCAATCTTGTACTGTCAATGTAGCAATTGCTGATAGCCTACAGTCAGTCTTGTCAATTATTAACACACTGAAAGATACTTTAGTCAGTACAGGCATACTTACTGGTTGGAGGTAGGACAGCACATAGAAGACAATCAAGTTGTCCAAAAAGTAAAGAAAGGCAGGAATTGACCACTTCATGGAATTACAAAAATTCTTCCAGGAAAGACAGCCAAATGGATGATCTAAGCAGCCCTCTGGAAGGAAAACAAATCAATAGGAGAAACAACTTTTTTATTATCAGAAGTCCATTTCGAAGCCCTTTGAATAGTCAGCAGTGTTCTCTGGCAACACAGAGGACAGCCCCAAGGCAGAACAAACAGCTAAAGCAAAAATCTAGTGTCTGTAAGCATTCACATCCTTGCTTCACTAAGGAAACTATGAAGGAATCACAGAATTGTAGGGTTTGGAAGGGACTTCTAGAGATCATTGAGTCCAACCTGCCTGCTAAACCTGCTAAAGTAGGTTCCCTACAGCAAGTCACAAAGGCAGGCACCCAGACAAGTCTTGACTATCACCAAAGGAGATTCCACAATTTCTCTAAGCAGATTTTGCTAATCTGTCCACAAGACAGAAACCTGAATTAGGGTTTCTCACGTGAGAATTAAAACCAGGAGACAAAATTTGCAATCGCTAGCTCTGCTCTCCTCTTTTTTTTTTTTTCCTTTTGTCATTTTGTCTTGTTCTGTTCTAGGGCTGAACAGAAACAGCAAAAAGATGCTTAGAGAATCCTTTAATCCTATCAGAGTGTTTCTCCACTGGTGCAAAAATACATCATAATTGTTCTTTGAGGACCAAAAAGCACTCCAGAAAGCCCCCACACAATAGTCACATCAGTATCAGCTGATTATCAATCTCATTTAGATTAGAAATAATGACACAGATGGAGGATCTGTTCATTTAGCACCCAAAGGGTAGCCAGTAACAAGCTTCTTTTCAGTCATGTCTTCACAGTGAGGCAACTCCTATTACCCTAGCCCAACGCTGTGCTAAAATTTCAAAAAGATTAGATTGTCTTCATTACACTAACTCAACTCATTATCCTCATTTCTGCTATCATACAAACAACTTGAGAACATCTGAATTTAATGGAAAAATTAGAGTTATAATAAGTATGGCTATAATTGTGTATCAAAGACATAATTCCAGAGAACATTACTGTCAGGACTTCATGCCATTACATGTGAATCTATTAGTGGGAAAGTAAAAAAACAAAACAAAACAAAAAAAAAAAGATATGAAGTATAATAAATCTTAGCAAGTCAACACATCTTAGTTACTTGAAACATATGTACTCACCTTTTTTCTTAACCCATAGTGCCAATACCACGCACAGGAACAGTTTTACTACTTCAGAACATATGTTCACTGTTGTAGGAAGATAATCATACTTATTATCTGTGGGATTCAGCAAATTGTAAAGAGTACACCATCAGATTCCTTCTGCATTCACAACTGGAAAAGGAAATACTTTAACCCCTTCAGTCAGGATTAGACCCCCTGCTCATAAACACAAAGTGTTAGCACTCCTATTACAGATAGTCAGTTTTTGACAAGTCAGGTGCCCTTCTAGGCTGAAATCTTTCCTCATTTGCTCTCAGTTTACAGTACATTTTTTTTGGAAGAACTAACCATCATTTTTAAAACAATCAAACCAGGAAATATTTTCCCCCCCAGAGTGATAGAGTATGTTTTCCTAGTAGGAGAAAGCTTCCAGGATGACATGACCTACATCGTGGATTTTATCTTTTCTTTGATAGCATATTTTGCTAACATTTGCTAAAAGGACAGCGTATTTTGCTAACATTTGCTGTAAGACAGCTTGCACACCACTATACCACCTTCTCCTGAAGGTGCTGTGAAACAAATAAACTGGTCATGCACCACCAACAGTGTTTGCACAGTTTAATATTTGGAAATCAGCTATAAAGTAATCTACTGTCTCATCTTTTGAGGCTAATCTTCAACTGGATCAGATATCTTGCAACCTCAGATTGTTATCCTACGTTAGACACAGGGAAATTTATGCCTCAGTTTATGTAATGGAGAACTAGGTGGAAAAGTAGGTTTTGGGGTATCCGTTACACCTGAAATAACAAATCTTATTTGAAGTTCATTACGTTTATTGTCCAACAATACCTTCATTAGCAGAATATTTCATCAGAAGGATTCGACTCGAGCCCAGAGCAATGAAGACTCCTCCAAGTAGAAAGGTGTAGATGGTTGTCTTGGAGCAAACTGCAGAGCGACGACAGCACTTGCTCTCCATTCTGCTGCCTTGCTGTCAGTGCCCTTTGGATGACACAACACACATATGCTATAAACAGTACTTCCAGAAGCTGATATGGTGAGGTGAAACGTGTGCCTTTTATTGCTTTATCGCAAACAAAATGGTTTGTGTTGAGAACTATAATTGCATGCTAAAATCAACATTTTATTTCAAATGAGGGCCAGCCAGGGGGAAATAAACACCTCGCATACACAGTGATATCTACGGAATACTCACCAGCTGAACAAGATAAATGAATTACATTGTTATTTCTCCACAGGATTTTTATGTTTGAATATACATGTACGTATATCACAGAATGGCTGGGTTAAAAGGGCCCATCCAGTTCCAGCCCCCGCCGCGAGCAGGGCTGTCACCCACCAGACCAGGCTGCCAGGGTTCCATCCAACCCGGCCTCGATCTCTTTCACAAACAGCTTCTGTTCCCGATCGCAGCAGACAGAGTTGCACAGGGCCGCCCGAGGCTCGTCCGCTACCAGACGCGCTCCGGGCGGCTGTTTCCGCTGTTCAGCCACCCGCTAACGAAAGACGGAAGGGCGGCGGCCCCGGCACCGCCAGGCACCGGCTGTCAACGGTCTCTCGCCTCGCGCCGATCCACCTCAGCGGCTGCGCCTCAGCCTCGCGGCTGCGCTCGCCACTCTCTGCCACGTCTCCGCCTCGCGGGCGCGGGGCAAGCCGGGCCGACAGAGGGCGGCTGCCGCCGAGACGGGGAACCGGGAAGGCGCATCCGACGCTCGACTCTCCCCGTTCTGTTCCCACCGGCCTCGGCCGTAGCCCGTTTCAGCTCCCCGCCCCGCCGCACGCAGCTGCCGGGCACCGGGCACGGCGACGCCGCTATCAAACACACCCGTCGCTGGTGGGGAATGAAGACCGCGACCCTGTCCCTAATCCCGCTCGTTCTCTTCCTCTCCCGGTGCTCATCCCCAGCACCTTGCCCCTCTCCCGCTTCCCCGCCGGCCTCACCTGCCGGCGCGGAGCCGAACGGGGCGGAACCCTCCCCGAGACGGACGGCAGCGCGCGCCCCCTGACCGCCCCTCCTCCGCCGCCTCATTCTCCATGACAACTACCCACGTGATCCAGGCTTGCTTCCGGATTTCTCTCCCCACCACGTGATGCATACGTCTATTTTCGGGGACGCGTGCAAGGAAAAGCCGCCGGCTTCCCGTCTTGGTCTGTGCCTGCGCGTGCGCACATGACGTACGTGTGCGCGACGGAGCGGGCGCTGGGTCACGTGGCCGGGACAGGGGGCGGGGCTGCCGGTGCAGCCGTGACCGTTGGCTGCGGCGATCGTTCCCGTGGCCCTGTGGCGGCATGCAGAACGTCATCAATACGGTGAAGGGGAAGGCCCTGGAGGTGGCCGAGTACCTCACTCCCGTCCTCAAGGTGCCGGCTCTGCGCGGAGATCCCAGCGCGTTCCCTTGCGAGGCGTTCCGGGAGGGGGGAGGGGTGGGTGGCCGCCCTCTCTATGAAGGCCGCGCTGACGCCCCGAGGGTCGCGAGGGCGCCGCCCCGCCTCTGCGAATTGGCTCCAAAGGAGGGAGCGGGCAGCTGCCTGCTTCCGTGGGGTTGAGCTGCGCTTTGCGTTCCGTCAGGGCTGGAGCATCCCTTGGGGAGGTGGGGGAAGATGATGGTGGCAGGCCTCGGGAGGCGGCGGGTTGCTGGAAGAACGGCTTGTCTGCTGTCATCGGTTTGTGCTGAAGTGGCTGAACGTTTGCCTGTGTGAGCAGGGATGGAAGCCAAGCGTGCTTGAGCGTGGTTTCAGGGGTGGGTTGCAGTGGGTCTTTTGGGTAAGAGTGCAGCTTTCTCAGCTGACAGAAAGAAACAAACTCGTCAAGTCTCCGTTATGTGCGCAAATATAAAGCTGTATAGCATGGCTGGCTGTATCAGCATTCCTAAATAAAAGGAAGCGTCTGCACAACGTAACAGCAAACAGTAGAAATTCTTCATGGTCTCCTCTAATAGTATGCTTATAAAGGTGTGCAGCAAATCTATTCCTGCTTGCTTAGGTAGGTAGGAAGTGATTTTTTTTTTTATTTTTTTTCTCCATTTCTCAATTCCATAATATATTCTACCTTCAGTTTTCAACTGTTTTCCTATTCAAAAGTTGACTTTGTATGGAAATATTTAACTTCCCAGCAGTTCTCTCACTACTGACTTTCAGACTTTTTCTATGTTTTTATTAAAATATGTAGACACTCCAAAAGTAATGCCTCCTGCTTACTTCTGTGGAAACTATAACAAATGCACTGAATACAATAACACTATTTGGCAGAGAAAATACTCGGCTACAAATCCTGATTGCTCAACATAGGCACCAGCATTAGCTGTGCATTTTTGCTAGCAATGAACAAGAGCCTTTATGCCACTCATCAAAATCTGCATCATTGGAGATGACCAGCTGCTGCTACTGCTGAAACACACCACTCACCACTTCACCTTGTCCATGCCAGAGTCATAGGGACATCCAGAGATCATCAATTCCAACCCCCCTGCCAAAACAGGTTCCCTACACCAGATCGTACAACTATGTGTCCAGGCAGGTCTTGAAAATCTCCGGAGAGGGAAACTCCACAACCTGCGTGCACAGCCTGTTCCAGTGCTCTGTCACCGTAACGAAGGTCACCACATCCACTGTTTGGTCTCCAGAAATGCTCAGCAAGTGTCGATGAATGTCAGTAGCAGCCATTTTTTCTGCATGGAGGAATTCAGTGGCATATCTTTATTTCATCCACACTCCTAGGTCAGACACCATTTTATCGTACTTCCCCTTTGCTGCCATTTGTCACACAGCAACCAAATGTAATGGAATATTGGTGGGAGGGTTCAACCCTACCGTATCACCTACATCTACCTCTGACATTGTAGACCAACTTAATAAAATAGGGGGCATTACTTCTGCAGCAACCCTTGTATGCCTGCTGTAATTGCCTACAACAATAAGCTCTCTGGCTATAGGTCTACTGCATGACCTGCTACACAACTTGTACTGTGCAACCTGGATCCTTGGACAGAAGTCGGTGATATGCAGTTATTAATTGAACTTGTCCCTTTAAAGCAAATAACATGCTCCTGCCTGGATAGTCTGTAGGTTTCACCACCAGTGCGAACCATCTGCTGCTGTGAAGTTGTGTGGAAATGTGGCTTGTTCACTGCAGTATGGCTGTTGCACAACTGGTATTTTATTATGTGAATAGCAGAGGAGTTTTTGTGCTCAGATGTGCTGGGGGGCTGTGGAACTTCTCATGAGTGGGAGGTGATGATAACATGTATGTATTCCCTTTACAAGGGGATTTAAGCAAGTACGCTGATTTCTTGACTTCAGAAATTCACTTTAGCTACTGTGTCTTGTGCTGGGCTTGCATACCACATGATGCACATAGATTAGAAAAAGTGAACTATTTACCCTCTGCGAACAGAGAGTGGTTATTTTACATTTTTCCTAATGTAATTCCAGAACTACAAGCTTGTTCTTGTTGCATAAAATATATGGATAATTTTGAGGTTAAATAATAAGTAGACTGTAACGAGGTGTTGCATAATATGTTATTCTCAATTTTTATAGTAATGCAAATTGCTAAATTAGTTCTTTAGGTTTTTTTTTTTATTTTTGTTAACTGCGTATAGCAGTGCATATAGTGACGTTTGCACGACAACCAGTTTGTTTATCATTAATCATTCACTTCAGTGTCTCTTCTTCAGGGACATAATGGGAGAAAAAGGAATCAGGTATTCATGAATACCTCCCCTGTCCTGGGATCTGGTGAAGTCGCCGTCCCTGGCAGTGTTCAAGAGGCATCTGGATAAGGAGCTATGAGATATTGTTTAGTAGCTTGTGTTAGCAATCATAATGAGAGGATGGACTGGGTGATCTTGTGGGTCATTTCCAACCTTGTGATTCTGTGAAATAGGTGAGCTTGTTTCCTTTTATATAGCGCAGGTGGTAGCGTGCACCAGGGTCAAGCACCAAGAAGAACTAAGTTAAGTAGCAGCTGGTTTTCTTTAATGCTTTCCCAGTGACTGAACCTGCTGAAGTTGTAGCCAAACATAAAATCCTTTGTGTTTGCTGCTTTTAGTCTTGATAGAAAGAATCATGAGTCTTTCAGGGCAAGAAGCTATGTAGTAATTGATGACTTGAAAAGTGAGCTATGCCATCCTTGAAATTTATATTCTTTCAAAAGTTCTTCTTAAATAGCTGAAAAACTGTAGGTTTCCTTGAGGCTTTTCTGAATGAAAAAGCAAATGAATCATAAACAGAATACTCTCTCCAAATTTGATTACGCTGAAAATGTAGCCTTAAACTTCATAGATGTTGTCTTTAATGCAAAAGTTCTTAGTTTTTCTATGCAAAGCTAAATTACATGGCCGTTTGCCATCTGTTGTAATCATAACTGGTTCTATGGTGTGTATAATGAAGGCATCAAAACAAAATGGATACCAAAAAGATTTAGTAACAGTCATTGCAGCTTTTCTTATCACAGGTGAAAGCTGGTTCAGTCCTTCATTTCATGACCTAGAAACCCACATACTGATGCATTACGCTGTCATTCAGTATTTAAACAGTCTCAAAATTGTTATTCTAAAGATCATTATTTCCAGCTGTTTTTCTGTCTCTAACTGGTAAATGTAATACAGAGTGTAAGGTGTCCTTTTTCTCTTTTTTTTTATTATTACTTTTATAATATATTTATTATTATTGACATAACTGACTCTATCAAAAGCAAAAAAGAATAAATTAAAAACCACTATGTAATCTTACCATGAACCTTGTTCCCCTCCCCCCCCCAAGTCTGCTACAAAGTAATTTCATCAGCCTTATGTTATAGGATATGGAGGTATCAGCATAAGCAGAGGCTGCCTCCAAGCTGCTTTGCAGATCTATGTGGACTGAGCAGATATTTTTGTCACCACGAAAGTGAATATGTTGATTTGCCAGCCGAGCTCAAAAACTCTACCTTTTATTTATTGCAGGAATCCAAATTTAAAGAAACTGGAGTCATTACACCTGAAGAAGTAAGTATTTAGAACCTTTGAAATACATTTGGAAACTGTGAAAGTACTGATAATTTTTACTCAAAGTGACTGTGCTCATCTCAAACAGTTTACTTCTTTGTCAGTTAAGTATTCCTTCTTGAAACAATTTCCACAATGTGAAAAAAAAAGCCTTCTTAGCCTACAGGTGAAGTAGGTCAGCATCAGAATTCTTGAGATCTGAATGTGGGATGTCTTTTCCTGTGTTATGTAATAAAACACTAGTTAGAAAGTTTTTGTTGGGTCAACAGCTCCGTTTGTCTTGGGGGTTAACAGGAATATGTTTATTTCAAAGGCTTTTCCCATAAACCCATGAGGTAAATTTATTACTGTATCTTGCTTACCTCACTTTTGGTTCCTTCCAAGACTATGGCTAAATCATTATATATGCTTGCCTACGGTAAGCATTCATTCAATGCTTTTATTTTTGTCTTTTTTTTTTTCTCCCCCTCTGGAGGCTGTTTCATGCTGCCAAGCAATTGCAATTTTTAAAGAGGAAAAAAAGAATTTTTCTAGAATTGTAAAAACACTGAATATGCAGTGCTGTTTGGGCTCCCTGGTTACGCTTCTTCTCCCATTAAAATGCTTCTGTTCTGAAAATACGTTGTCCTTACTGAACAGAGTTAGATAGAATGAAAGAAAAATGTGATGACTTACAAATGTGAAGATGAAATTAAACCAACTGCAGCTAGTATGGGCAGGAGTGTTTTTCCTAATGTTGGTAGCTAGTATTGTTCTGCTGTGTTACGAGACATGCAAACATTTGTGCTCTCTGTCATCCAGAAGAGCAGTACTCTGAAGAACAGGCTTAGTAACAAAGTGTTCTGCTGTATTGATAACAATATATATGTGTAGATGGTTATATATTGTACATACTAATATATTTGTTTTCTCTATATAAAACAAGTATAACTTTACAGAGAAAGTGTAAATGAATGTACTAATGCCTAATCCCTTCTTGATCTGAAGGAGGGAACTCCATAGTAGAACTGAAAAGATAGTTTCTGTAGTGGCAAGAAACACTCTATGCTACATTAAGCTGTTTGCAGTATTTATGGGTCAGTAAAATAATGCAAATAATATGTATTATCTGTGTAAACACAGATACTGATGTGATGAATAAATTGAATCCTTCAAAGCTTTACTCAAGAGAAATGGTTATGTAGCAAGACAAATGGTTTTCTTAAACTTAGGTAGGGCTGAAGTGTGGACCTGCTTATTGTCTCTTTGACAACCTTTTTACTCACTGATGGTTTTGTTCTTTATAGAACAGTGATTGCTAAAGAGTTGAAGTCACCTGTGGTGATGATAGGATGTTATCTTTGAATGAGTTTGGGTTTCCTGAGTAATGAATTTCAATTTAACTTGTTTTTCCTGCATCTTAGTCTGAGATACCACTGTGGTAAACTCTGTGAGGAGGGACATGACTTAGTGGACATGGTGGGGATGAGTTGGGGTTGGATTGGATGATCTTATAGGTCTTTTCCAATCTTAATGGTTCTATGATCTTGTGGCTTGTCTGTGAAGATGAATCTATTCAAGGCTAGGCTGGATGGGGCTCTGAGCAGCCTGGTCTGGTGGGAGGTATCCCTGTCTATAGCAGTGAGGTTGGAACTGGGTGGTCTTAGACATCCCTTCCAACCCAAACCATTTCATAATAACACTAATGATGACTAATTAAATTCAACATTAGTACTCTTTTTTGGGATCTGCGTAACTGATATAATTTTAGCAAGTTCTTGCCTGCCAGGTGTTCTTGTTAATTAATAACTCATAAAGACAGCCCTTTAAATTTCATATGTGAGCATGGGCAAATCTTTAAAATAATTCTTTTCAAGAGTAGAAGTAAGATGTTGTCCTAAAATTGTTCTCTTGTCACTTTTATGTTACCGACTAAGGTACGATAGCAGTAGCACAGTAGAAATAGAAAGTGAAACCACCTGATTTAATTATGCAGTCCAAGCTGAAGAAAAATGCAAGTGAAATTTAGAGATTGTTTTAGGTTTTTTGTATTACAAAACCTGCAAAGAATGCTTTGAATTTTTTCGTCTTAAATAATGTCTTTTAACAGTGGAGCTGCAAGCGCTGTTCCTGTTCCCTGGACAGAGAATTTTAGATGATTCTGGAGTTCCATGTGGTGTTTATTATCACATAAAGCCTAGTGCATGCTTTTGTTGTTGTTGTTGTTGTTTTTTAATTTCCCTGTGTGTTAGAAGGGATTACAGTTTTCCTTAAATTGAAAATTTCACTTCAGCTAGAGGCTTCTCTTGGAGAATGGTTGAAATGGTTTGCTTTTGCAGAGATCAGGTCTGCTAACTCATATGCAGTACATGTTCTGGTATTTTCCACTGTGCGCTGAGCCTTTGCATTGGAAGGCACGATGAGAAAATGGCTGATGCTAATGCTACAAGCCTGCTGTATCGCCCCATAACGCCTTGTGGGCAGCTTACAAATATGTTGTTGTAAATTGGCATTCTAAGAGAAGAAAACAACTGTAGCATTAGGTGTGTACCTTCTTTTCAAAGTGAACTAGTGCATGGAACACAGAAATCAGTATTCTTAAATACGGATTTCTTTTTCAGTTTGTGCAGGAAAACTATGCCCAGTGGGTTAGAATATGCTGGGTAGATTCTGAGTTGGTACAGTTTTGCATGGTGAAATAGCTGTTATCTTTGATACTAAGAAAAAGTAGAGTGAAGATTTTTAAAAGTTCTTTGTTTGGAACAGCGTTCTACATAATTTTTTTCAATTTACTAAGTGTGTGGTTATCCATATCTAGTAAATGCCAGTGGTGAAATATGGTGGTTGGTGTTCACTTCTTGAAGCATACTGTTTACTCCTCTGTTGCAGTTCTCTCACTAATTCAATGAAGTAGTGACAGTCCCGCTTCTGTTCTTGCTGCAAAATTGTTGTGAACACTAGAAGAGAATTAAACTTTTGTGTTTTTTGTAGCTGAAACTCAAATAAATGTACATAAAGTTTTTACTGGGTTGATTTTGGATGGAAAGCTTAAGTTCAGTTATTCATCTCATATTAATCTCTTCAATGTCTTTGTAAAACATGAAGAGTAGCAAATAAAAATAATTTATCCTTCACAAAATCAGTGATGTAACTTGGATTAAGAAACAGTGGTTAGTATGCGTTTCCTTCAGGTGAAGTTGATTTAGTTTTGTTAGTCATTTTATGATTAGCTGAAAAATAGTTTAAAGAAAGCATCAAACAAAGTATAAACAGATTAACTATGTAATAAGAATCAGAGGAATATGCAACTGAAATATAAATAGTATTGCAGGAATTGCACATTGCTTTCTTATGCTATATTTAACAGTTCTTTAATTTTTTCTTGCCTTAACAGTTTGTCGCAGCTGGCGATCACTTAGTTCACCACTGTCCTACTTGGCAATGGTAAGTAAACACAAAAGAATTGCACAAAGTTGTAGCATCCCTACATACCTATGCTTTGATGTGTTTCCACTGGATACAACCGTACAATTGTCTCATTTCAGAATAGTACTCTGGCTCTTGCAGTGCAATCTGCTCTATCTCTATGATGAAGATATATGAACTTTAAGTCAAACAGGTCTTTTTTATTCTTTGTAGCAGTAGGGGAAATAAGGGTTTGTTTGTGGTTTTTTTTCGTTGTTATTGTTCTCCAAAGGCTCTGGTGGAAATAAACTTGTACATACCATGCATGCTTTCAGTACTTAGCTGCGGTAGCAGTGTCTCTTCCCAGGTTTGTCTTTCGTGTTTAAAAAAAAGCAAAGGCCATGTCCAAACAGAATTGCTAAGAACAAGTTGTAATTGGTATGTTTTAAGCAAGAGTTTGGTTCAGTATTTTCAAGTAGACCCACGCCAGGTTGCTTTGTGCTGTGCTTGTTCTGGGAAATTCATTGTTATTCACACGCAGTGGGGGGTGCAAACAAGGTACTTTCTTGCATTTTATTAGTATCTTGCATTATAAAACAAACCATTCTGGACCGTGAACAGATAAAGAATTGTTATACTTGAATCAGTTTCTTGCCTTTTTTACTGTCTTCAGAAAAAATAAGATGTTGAATCATGTCTGTACATAAGCTTTATGCACATAGTTTGCAGCAGACTATTTAGTAGATTAGAAGACTTTTATTCCAAACCAAAAAGCAAGGAAGGTAAAAGAAAGTGCTCTGAATAATGTGAGCTTAGCAAAATTACTGGAGTCTGGTTACTATGGACAGGTTTTATAACTTCCGTTTCTTTTTCTGAAGTTGCTTTCTAGAGATGCTTGGTACTATGTTGTTGCTGATTCTAGTATGTTTCTTACAGACTAGATTGTTTTGTCAGCCCATCTTTGCTAGGCTATCTCAAAGTGAAGGTGGTTATTGAAGCAGAAAATATTTGTAATCCAAGACTTGATAGTTTAGGAATGGCCAACTTTTTTGATCCCATACAGATATCGAAGTCTCTATATAACCAAGGGCAAAGTTATAGCAAACAAATTCTGTTAAAAGTTCAAAAGGAGTACATAAAATACTTGTGATGTAGATTGAAAATAGGGTTCTTTTGCTTGCACGTCATCAAATTCCCAACCTTTTTGTGGTGCACTTTGTTTTGCAGGGCTTCAGGAGAAGAGCTAAAAGTCAAGGCTTATCTGCCAACAGACAAACAATTTTTGGTAACTAAAAATGGTAAGGCTGAAGTTTAAATATAAGTGTGTTTAGGACAGCATGGTTGATTGTGCTGTCAAATCTACTCATTGCCTGTATTGACAATTGAAGCATATTTTGTTCTTGTGATACTAGAAGTTTTTCCTGCACATCTGAAATCTTTTCCTTTTATCTGTTATTACCAGGACTTTATACCAGCAGTGCAGTTTCTTTTGATGAAGTAAAAATGAAGAGTAAATGCCATAAACTTGTCTATTGTCCTTGTCTATCTTTTTTTTTCCTCCACCCTTCGGATCATAATTGGTTTATTATGTTTAAATAAATAAGATATGTTTATTTTACACCTCCTTTTGGAAATCATGGGTTATTGAAGTTCCCAGAATTGTCATACCAGTGCTTCTGGAATGCATAACTGATGTCACTGTTCCTTTCAATAATTTATATTATACGATTATATAAAATGCAATTTTAAATCCAGTTTTCATCAGATTCACAATTGTGTGTATGTATAATACTTGTGATGACTACCTTTTTAAGAAAATGCAGGAGAGACCTGTACATTGATGTGCATTGGCACTACCATGGCAGAATTGTTTTCTTGAGAGATTTTGTATAAAAATGTGTCAAAGATAATGTAATTAGAGGTACCTGCAATACTGTGAAGATCCTCAAAAGTTTTTTTACCCGCTGGAAGTTGTATTTCATGCTTTGATGTCCCTTGCAAGCTTTTGAAGTCTTGCAGGGAACTGTAGGGAACTATCATATGAAGATGTTAGTGCTAGTGTTGGACAGACTTCAGTGAGATAGCCTTGATAGCTGAATAGCCAGGTGATCTACTTTGTTTATCTCTTCTACTCCTTCCAGGGTACCACATTGCTGTGAGCTTCCTAGGCCACGTTTTAAAGCAGTGTGTTTGTGCTCTTTCTACTGGTAGTGACACGTTGGCCAAGCACCTGAGTAGAAGTTGTGGGCTAAGGGTGAAGCCAAAAGCCACTCTACAGGCTTCATTTTGGAAGTCTTTGGAGAACGTTCTTTCACTGTGACTTTCAAACCTTCTCTCTTTCTGAAAATTAGCATTTTTGTTGTACTGCTCGTTTATGCAATTGGAAAGAGTCTGCTTTGTCTTAACTGGATCCGCATTTTCTGTGACTGTTTTCTGAAAATTATATTTAAATTGTACTTAAATGGCAATATAATACATGACTGAAGTTACTTTAATTAACAAATTAATTTTAGCCTCTTCCAAACTTGTAGATGTTAATTAGCATGATAAATTAGGTACGTTTAACAGTAAATATCTGATACAAACTTTAAAAGAATTCTAGAGACAAATCAGCTCAGTAAACTGGTGGTAATATAGGCAACGTTGTACTTGGGCTAGATGTAATTTAGTGCTTAGCAGTAGTTTAGTTGTTAGCAAATGAATAGGTAGCATAAAAACACATGAGAAGTTAATTTGTTTCTGGTACTCGTGAGTTTGGGTGAAAGTTCTAATTGTTAGAAGAAGAATGAACTTGCAGCAACTCAAACAAGTGATGTGCTGTAGTGAGATAAAACACCGCTTACAGCTCATCAGCATAATTAATTTCATTTGAAATATATATATCCAGGGTTCCTTAAATAAAGATATGAGCTAACTATATTTCAGAAGACCTTGTAGAAAAGTTTCTTGCATCAATCTGATTTTGTATAGGAATGGCTGCAGTCATCTTGTTTTGCAATTTTTTGCAGTACCGTGCTACAAAAGGTGCAAGCAGATGGAGTACTCAGATGAGCAGGAGGCAATTATAGAAGAAGATGATGGTGATGGGGGATGGGTAGACACCTTTCACAATGCAGGTATTCAGAGTCTTGCTTCAAACTTTGCATTTGGTAATCAATAAGATTATCAGTTTCCACTATTAGAAAGTAAAATCTTTCTCATGCGGTTGACTGTGTATTAGTATCTAATCTGGAAGAAAGTATGTTACTGTGCCAGAAACCCACGTGCTTTGTGTATGACTGCTTGTATGACATATTTAACTGTATGCCTGTATGTGTCTGAAATAGGCTGCTTTTCAGAGATGTCAATGGTATTTTAGTTATTTTGGTATTCTCTTAGAAAAGTTCTAGGAAGTTATTGCCAGGGGGGAAGCTAGGGGCTGTGTACTGGCTCATTCTTCAGCAAGGAGATCTGTTAAAGAGAACACTGGTTTAAAATATATGTCAAGAACGTACTAATTTCTGCTTTTAGTCAGATTGCATGTGAAGGATTTTGATATTTAAATGATGATGCAAAGAGACTTAATGACTGTAGTATTTCCCATGTTGTTAATTTGTAGGGTTTGAGTTAAAAAGGGGAACAATTAGAAAACAGCTCTTAGTATTTGATGTCATTTGAAGGGCTAAAAATATTGTTAAATAAGGTGATGACTGTGAAAGATGATCCTTTTTTATTTTTAATGAGCTTGTGTCTAAAAATTATTGCTTACATGGATCTGTCTCATTATCAGGCTTGTTCAGCCTGGAGAAGAGAGGGCTGGAGAGTGACCTCATTGCAGCCTCCCAGTATCTAAAGGGAGCCTACAAACAGGAGGGTAGCCAACTCTTTACAAGGGTAGATAACAGCAGGACAAGGGGAAATGGTTTTAAGTGGAGAGAAGGAAGATTTAGGTTGGATATCAGGGGATGTTCTTTACCTGCAGAGTGATGAGTACTGGAACAGGCTGCCCAGAGAGGTTGTGGATGCCCCGTCCCTGGAGGTGTTCATGGCCAGGTTGGATGGGGCCCTGGGCAGCCTTGTCTAGTATTAAATGGGGAGGTTGGTGGCCCTGCCTGTGGCAGGGATTTGGAGCTTGATGATCCTTGAGGTCCCTTCAAAACCAAGCCATTCTAGGATTCTGTGATTCTATGATCTTGTGTAGCACAGCTTCTAGTAAACCACGTTGTCCTTTTCTGAGAAATGGCAGTTTTATTAGTTTTAATCAATTTCTTCATGAGCTGTAATGAGTTGATTAAATTCAGTCTTTCAATTACGTTGTCTTCTACTGCCTCCAAAGCTGGAATATATTTCAGTCAGCTTTACTTTTTTCAGTGTAATTTCTTTTGCTATATTCTGGCAAATCTTCTCTCATAAATAATTTAGCCATACTGAGGAGAGCAGGGGTGCAAGAAGATGCTTTTGCTTTTGTAAATGTGTATTTTTGATCACTGGAAATTCTTCTCTGTATTGCTCTTCATAATTGAACACCTCTCTGCAAGGAAATCATGTGAGACGTAGCTTTGTCATATTCTTTAATTAGGTATGCCTTCTCCTTCTCTGCTCTGTCAAGTTTTGGGTGTGGGTTTTTTTGTTTGTTTTATTGAGTGAGATTATTTGGGTTGATTGATTTGGTTCCTATGCTTTGCTAGTACGGCTATAAGACTTCTAATTAGATCTAGCCGGGTGTCTGAATAATCTTAGGAGGTAAAAATTTATTTCCTTTCATCTGTATTGATAAGTTTTATAACAACACTTTTTGGTGTGTGGGGCAAAACTGCATGTAAAGAATCACACTGCCACTAGAAATGCGTTGTTTCTGAGCAGCATTCACCTGACATCCCTTTCCCTAAGCAATTAAGGTCCATTTTTGCATTTCTGCAGGACAGTAACTTGATTTCAAGTTCATTCATTCATGATATAACTTCTCACCTGAGCAGTTAAGAAGATTCATTTACTGTTCCAAAGCAGAATGTTGTCGCGTATCCCAAAGAGCAGCAAATGAGTGCTACAATAAAACTGGGAATCAAATGCAGAGGCATTGAAATGTTGATACTGCTGTGATTTGGGGTGTTTTTTACTTCCACTTCTTCTCAGCTGAAAGCATTGTATGCTACCATGTTTCTGCTTTGTTGTCAGCACTTTGCCTTCAGGATGCTTCGAAACAACTAATGAAGCATACCTTGCTTGTGAAGCTGAGAGAATTCACATCGTGAATTCATTCTTTGTGCAAACGATCCTTAAAATAAAAAATGCAAATTACTTTGCTGTTATTCCATCAACAAAATTTGTTTGCAGCGTAAGAGCTGTGCTATTGTGCTATGCATTACTAGCATGGTCTGTTTATGGATGTCCAGCTCCAAGCATGCTGCCAACACCAAATAAATAGCTTTTCAAGTATCTAGAGTTGTTGTGAGATGTAATAGGAATGATCATATGCTGCTTTCTGAGATGCATCATTCGTTGTAGTGTTCTGTAACAGAGAAGCAGGTTTCTTTAATGCAAACTTATTGTTCAATTAACAGGTATAGCGGGTGCAACAGAAGCAGTTAAGGAGATCACTCTAGACTGTAAGGTACTTGCTTTGGAATTATTTTTTTTGCTTTATTATTGGACATAAAGGTAATAGAAATCTTCCCTGCAGCCATCTAGTATTGCTTCTGAAAGTCTAGAATACTCTTTGTCACTAGATGTGTTGCAGATATTCATTGACCTTCATAGCTTGTGATACTGATTTAAGCATGTAATCTCTACATTACCATGTGTTTACCAGAGCGGTGTTCTTTTTAGGCTGTGTTTAACTAGTGTGCTCTTGTGCCAAACTTCTACAAACTGAAAATGCACCTGGATTTACAGTGATAACTCCCCTTGTTTCTCAGGAAGCTGATGTTTGGTGATCCAATGTAAATAATTCTTCTTTTTTTTTTGTGGAAAAATAATTCAGGAGTAGAAAGTATTTATTCATAATCTTTAAACTTCATTTGCAGTAGTGTTTAAACTCTTTAAGTCCTGTTTGATGCCCTCACATTCACTGACATACTAGCACTGTTTAAATATCTTACAAAGTCATCAGTTTCTGTACGTTTCCAAAAAATCACTCGGTAGCAGGATCCAAATCTGAAACTTAAGGCCTCATGAAACTGAGAACAGAAATTGAAATGGATATATGTAATAGCTAATGTGCTTAAGAGATGGGGAGAATGTCACAAAGGGCAAAATGATTTTAATGATGAACACTCGAGTGGAGTTCTATTTGTGTCCTTTAAGAATGTGCGAAACCATCCAAGCATGAATCTTTTGATTCTGAAGATTAGATGGAAAGAGAATGGAAATTGTAAGCAACTCAAACTCTGTTGGTGTGGTTAACTGTGAAATTCATCCAAGTGAGACTGTACTGAACACTGTGAAAATACAACTTTTTGACAACTCAGTTACGTAAGGGTAGAAAAAACTCTCTTAAGAATCACCTGGAGGTGACTGGTGTTTCTACAAAATGTAATTGTAGAACCTTATTGGATGTGCAACTGCTGTTGTGTTAAGGATTTCACTTCTGTTTTGTGCACAGAAAAAAAATCTGCATGTAGAGTACTTCATTTCTTGGATCACAAGGCCAATCCAGAATGGCAAATCTTTTTCTGCTGGCAAATATACCGTTTGCCGAAGTACTCAACGACATAGTTATGTACTGATTATATTTTGTTTTGTTTTCCTTATAATTAGAGCAGCTCCTAATTCTAGTCATTGTTTTGAGTATTCTCTTGAAGTCTTCATGACATTGGCATAAATTGAGGCCTCCCTCTCTGAATTTCTCTGGAATTGTCTGTTGGATTCAAACGTTATCCATAGGCACAAAAGTTGTTTGAGGGCTTGTTTGTGGCTTAGTTTATAGAAGGTCTTAATCTACATGTCTAGTTGTGGGCTTTCATTTGAGGCAAGTGGGTTATTTGAAAATAAATTATGGCTGTGTATACTTTATTCTTTATTTGTGATTATTCTTTACATATAAATAGAATCAGTCTGGACTACAAAGTCAAAGGAGAAATTTTTAGTGGATTTTTAAGGCAAATATTTGAGTTCAGTATAATCCTTGTTAGTATTGCAGATTGTTTCATTTATTTATTTATTTTTTGCATGGCTGTTTTGACTGGATCTAAATTCTTGAGATTTGCTGGGGCATCTTAAATGCAGCTGTCTTTAAAGTAGTGCTTTCAATTTTTACTTTTTATCTAAAGGATAATATAAAAATACCAGAGCGATCAGCATCCTGTGAAGATGATGATGAGGAAGATGAAGGAGAAGCTGCAGACATGGAAGGTATTTCCGTAATTGAATGGGATGCACTTTTTTTCAGGCCTTTAGCTATAGTGGTAAACTTTAAGAGAATACTACTTTATTTTTACAGAATGCATGCTAACAAAAATCAACAGGCAGATCTCCTTTATTATCTTTTGTATGGTCTTATTGGTGCATGTTTAATTTGTGTGATGAAATCTCAGTGACTATTGACAGGCGAATAGGTTTGAGTAGCAACGTAGAAGCAAAGAAAAATTAGGAATTTAGCATAGTTTTATTCCTGCTACATGGCTGTACCTAATCTGTCAACTAAAAACCACTTTTTTAAGGATTGTTTATCATGTACTTGTAGGCTGTGTCACATTTGTATTAAAAAGGCTTAGTCTGGTTTGGGGGTTGGGAAATCTATGTGAGTAAAACATGTTTATATACATGTGACAGTGGGAATGAGAAATATGACAACTAGCTGTGAACTGAACACAGAATTTTATGGGTCTTCTTTTCAGAATATGAAGAAAGTGGGCTATTGGAGACAGATGATGTGAGTGAACTGTTCTGTCTTGTCTGTTAAAATACTTATCACCAGTATGAGCACAAGCAAAGTAAAAATAAAGATGTTAAGTGGCTCACGTAAGGTTATTAGGAGCAGTGGGATTCCTGAGCTTGGTTTCCTATGGATTTGTCTCCTTCCTAACTACCTTAACTCTTAGGTCCTTAGAAATTTTGACCGCAGTAATTTTGCTTTCTTTGCTGTTCTGTTTTGCTCTGCTTACATACTGTGCTCAATTCGCAAGTTATAAAGTGTGGTGGTTGTTCTAAAACCTGTATGTGGTGGACGGAGTGTCTTATAGGTTCAGTTAATTACGTGCACACTCCAGAATCTAATGAGGGAAGACAGGGCATCATTATTTGGAGGCACTTTTCTGAGGTTTTCATGAAACCTGCATAATCTGAGACCTGCCTTGTGAATTTCATTGGGATTGTCTTTTTTGTTTAAAAGTTTTTGGTGGAAGAAGGGAAGAGGGTAGGACAACGTAGTTGCACCTTTCTATGAGAAATCGTGTCTTAAAAAACAAAAAAAAAAAAGTGGAGAGAAATTTGTATTACTTCTTTGAATATTGAAAACAAAACCTAAAAGCCTGTATTTCTTAATGTACACTGGAGAACATTTATTTTGATCTTGCAGCCCTACCTAGCTGCATAGGATGGGACAAGAGGGAATACAAACAGGACTGTACTAATGTTGTCATTTTCACCTTGAAAACCAGGCAACACTTGACACAAGACAGATTGTAGAAGTTAACAAAGCCAAAGTTGATGTTGGAGGGGAAGATGCTATTCTACAGACTAGAACTTATGACCTCTACATCACTTACGACAAGTATTACCAAACTCCAAGGCTCTGGTTATTTGGATATGATGAGGTACAGCAATGTTTCTTTGTTTGTTTGTTTTCCCACTTCTGTGAAATGAGACCAAGTCAGATAACAAGGCTACTTTGTTATTACTTTCTAAATCACAGTGCAAATTGAAAGGAAGAAATGGTGAGGAAGCCATTATGCAGTCAGGATTGCAGACAGGGCTTTTAGGGTTGCAGGACACAGAAATTATTTCACTGAAAAATTGTACTTGATAACTAAGTATTTTTGGGAAAAAAGGGGGATTGTGCACTGTTATTTTTTAAGCTATTGCTCTAAGAGAAGCTAAGAGAAATAACCCCTGTCAATTCAGACAACTAAACATGTTTTTGTGATAAAAAGATCAGATAAATCACTTCCCTTTTACTAGCTAAGTTTCTTGGATCAAAGTTGATGAGGGCTTATGACTCAGGTACCTAGATGGGAACCAGGGCCTTGGTTGTCATATATAGAATTGACCATTCACGTTATATACTAAAAGCAAGGTTTTATGTAGTACTATTTCAACACCGTATGAATTTTAACACAATCTGTATTTTCAGTGTACTTTCAGAAGTGTTGTACTTGTGACTTACGGTACTACATGTGTTCGTGATGCTGGAATTACTAAGAAGCAGTAAAAAATTCTTTTTTAGTAATGCTTTTGGTGGAGTGTTCCTTTTTTCTTTGTAGCAACGGCAGCCTTTAACAGTAGAGCATATGTATGAAGACATCAGTCAAGATCACGTCAAGAAGACTGTGACCATTGAAAACCATCCTCACCTTCCTCCACCTCCCATGTGCTCAGTTCATCCATGCAGGTAAGTGTTTCTAGTGTGAGGCGGGATGTGGACATAAGGCACTTTGCTGTTCTTGTTAAGGTTTTGATTCAGGTTTTTTTGGACTTATTTCCATACTTGGCTGCCACAATGGCCTCTTAGCTTCTGAAGGAATATAAAATACAGATAATAGTTTTTCTCTGAGGTCATTCCACTGCTCACTGCTGCAAATGTACTATGCAGTTAGAGTTCTCTTTTCTGTGCTTAACTTGCTTTTCCTCCACTTTCCCAGAAATTCCAGAAGATGGCAGACTACTAGAACTCTATAAAGCAAGTTCTGTGCTTTCATTTGCTGTTTTTGGGGGAGTAGAAGTATAATATATGCTTTGAGAGCAGGAAAATGTTATTTCAGTGTGAAAGAACTCTCTTTCATTACTACCTTCTCCCCAAAATGTCCATTAAACTGCTAAGTACAGGTCCTGTAATTGTCACACTGAAATATTATTTTGCACTTATGTTTAAAAAAAAAAAATTGTTTTCAGGATCTTTTCTGTTGCATTTCCACATTTCTCATCCAATATACAAGTAGTCTGTAGTTAGACTAGTTGCACAGATATTTTTTCTAACATGTTTTTGAAGATGGCTTTTATCTTAGATGTAGAGTGATTCTTCAGCTTCTTGCTATTGTCAAGATCTTGGAGATGTGAATTCGGGCTTTCTCTCTCTCCCTTTTTTTTTTTTTTCCCATTAAAAAATAAAAAGGAAAAACATCCAGTATCATGTACATGCTTACTATACAAATAAATAAAAATTCTGATTGTCCCTTTCACTCACAGAAGTTTCTTTGTGCTTGAAGAAACAATTCTGGATCTTGTGTCGCTAGTTGAGATGCCAAACAATTAGCATGTGACTGACAAGCTTGTGGTAACTTCTGCAGATTCAAAGCATTCTTACTTCTAGGTTAGGCATTCTTTGAACATACGATTAATTTTGGGAAGGCTGTACCATTCTTTATGAAGAATGGAAGCTTTGAACTGGTGGATGGCTGCTCTTGATCTTATGAGGTTGTATATCCGTGTGTTTTATAATCTGTATCTTGTCTTCCAGATTTTGGTTCTTTAACTACCGCCTTGCAATAGTCTCTGCTTTTAACAAGCACTCAAGCTTATGCCTGCACAATATTAAGCAGGGAAAACATTTTACAAGTGGGAAATAGCTTTCTGCCCAGTTCAGCTGATGTAGAGAAATTTAAGTAATGAACTTCATTGTTGGTCTTTAAATGACCAGGTTTAAGTCTATAAAGACCCATCTAGACAAGCCTTGGTACTCAAGAGTAGTATAGGAAGCAGATAACAACTTAGAGAACTATTAGAAAAGGAATAAAGACTAAAACAGAAAACATTAAGTTCCTTCTGTGAATCTGTGGGATGACCTGTATGTTGAATACTGCAGTAAGTTGTTGTTACCCATTCTGTAGTCTTTGAGATAAAGGAAGAGGTACAGATAGGGTATCAGGAACAGCTGCAGTTATGAAGCTTCTTCCAAATAAGAAATGATTTGAATAATCTGGGACCCTTTAGCTAGCAAAAGACAGCTGAGGAATGAGTTCTGATTTGAGTGACTCTTATCATGAAAGCCACAGAGGGACAATAGCCAGCACGTCTTTCTTTTTATTTTTTTCCTCAGTAGTAAAGTGCGTATTATTGAATGGAACTCATTACTGGCATGTTGAAAGCCAGAAAAAGGAGTAAAATCTGCATGTATCTAAGAAAACTAAATATTAAAGTTGTTTAGGAAGTTAATGGAAGAAAAGTTGTCAAGAGTTGTCAGGTGTGGTTACTGTTTCAGAATTAGGAAGCCTCTAGTCTGTGTACTGCTGGAGACTTGAAAAATTTGAGGGAAGCATTACTAAGTACGTGCTCAGGCCTCTTTTTTGAGCATGTACTATGAGTTTGTCAGATAATGAGGAGAATGAAAAAGATCTTTTGCTGTAAGAAGGATTTGGGAAGAAAATAGCATATGCTGTTCTTTACTTTTGATGGTTGATCAGGTGGGATGAATGTAGGATGGTTTAGCAGACTGAGTGGGAAGGCAATTAACCAAAGCAAAGAAGAAAACGTTCCTGATGCGGCTCAATTTAGTGGATGCTGAAAGACCTGCTAATAAAGGGATGTGAGGAAGCCTCTGATGGATGCATGTTGGAGGGCACTCACAAAAGAAATAAAGATGACAAGATATTTGGACATGACAACCCTTGCTGACTACTTAAAGCTGGGGAGTATATTCTGGTCTGTGACTACAATGTATCCTGTTTAATTTTGCAGATTTCTTTATAGAAGAAGAACCAATTTCCTATTAGCCTGTGAATTTGGATTGAAATTTTTTCACAGAGGAGAGCTGTGAGTGTATGTGTTCTTCCTCTGAAATGAGTAAAGTTTCAGTGACTTTGTTACATAATTCACATCTACCCTTGGAAAAACAGCTTGCATCATGAGACTTATTGCAATTAGTCTTTTAAGAACAAAAAAGGAAGATTGATATTGCAGTGAGATCAGTTTGTCACTAGTCTTAAATGTAGAGGAAGCAATGTAGCCTTCTCCAAAACAAGACGAGGTGATCTAATTGACTGGCAACTGCTTGACATTGTGTAAGTTAGCAGATGTTGTCCTGAGAACGTGAAGAAAGTGACTGATAGTGTATCTAAAATGGTGGTTTAAAATGGAATTCTATGTGACTGCTAGGTACTAATGTTACAAAGGCTGTGGTTAAATTAGGTTGCCTCATGCTGCTTAATTCTTAAAGCATTAAATATGTTCTCTTGCTGTATGAGGCAAGCTATTCCATCTCCTTAATTTAATTAGGCTTATAGCTGAGAAGGTCTGGACTTCTGAGATTTTATTTATTAATTTATTTTAAAAGGTCAAAAATGTTTTGTTGTTAAGTTAGTGTTTTTCTAGCTCTGCAGCTGTTGCTTCCCTACACATTACATATATTGTGTAATGTGGGGTACTTGCGTGGTCCTAAACTCACTTGGCTGTTTCTTGCAATGCGTATGTCCTTCTGTCCTGCGTCAGAGAACAGGAGGAAATGGGATGTTGGCATGAGGGAGACTGCCACTTCTTGAGACTGCTTCTATTTTAAGTAGTTAGTTGAAAGTGTTAATCTTGCAGCTCTTCTGGAAGTTGTATTCCTTATCAGCATTTTTATGATACCAGCAGGAACACATTCAACTTCCTCATTAATTGCTGGAAACTGGTTTAACCACAGTTCTCGCTATTTATGTGGGTTTAATGATTGATAATTTGATAGCAAACTAGTTAACTACTAAACACTTTTACAATTGGGTTTGAATTACATATACTAATTCCAAGATCATATTTTCCTCTCCTTCAGAATGTATAATAATAGGCTTTTGAAGTCTTTTAACCTTACATAGTGTAAGCTGTCAGCAGGGAAGTGATTGTAAGGCTCAGGATAAGTGAATTGTAGAGTTTATGGTCAACTGTCAAGATTATGCAGGTTTATACTGAAAATAGCACCTCTGTGCTTTTTTCCCGCCAGTGTCTTTGTGTGAGCAGTTACAGACACTGAGTCACATTCGTGGACAGTTTTCTCTTGAAAATACACTGTCCTACAGAGTCTTACATTCAGCTCTTTGTTCTAGAAGCTTATAGTTGTCCACTACACTGAAATTCCTGAAGAAGGCCTTTTACTGTTTTGAACTGTGAATAATCGATCATTTCTGGTATTGCTGTTGTGTGGTTTGTGGGTTGTGTTTCCCCCCAATAGGTCAGGATGGTTTTTATTGTATACATTTACTTTTCAGTGTTGTAATTTTCCCTTTCAGCTGATACTGAGAAAATATCAGTATGTCGACTGTGCTGAATTCCACTGTCAGGCTGATTTTATTTATTCATTTACTTCTGAAGGATTTTAGTTACTTCCAAGGGGAATTGGGCATAAACTGGAGCACAAGAAGTTCCACACAGTAAGAGTGACAGAGCACTGGAATGGGCAGCCCAGGTTGTATTGGTAATATTCAAGACCTGTCTGGATGCCAACCTGTGCAACCTGCGGTGGGGGGCCTGCTTTGGCAGGAGAATTGGACTTGGTGATCTCTGGAGGTCCCTTCCAACCCCTACAATTCTGTGATTCTCTTCAAAAGCAAAAACTTTTAACAAAGTAAAAACTTATGAGAGTGTAATCAATCTAATAAATTGGATTCTCTCAATTTATTTATTTATGGACTTATCTCTATACGTATCTGTCTCAATTTCTTTTCAATATGAACAACAGTATTTTTTACTTAGAATATGAATGTTAACTCATATTACTTGAAGCACATCAAGAGTTGGTAATATACCAGTAAGTAAATTAGGAGATTTTAGTAGATGTTTCAAATGTTTGATCTACTGATCTACTTGTTAGCTCAAGTGATATACAAACAGGCCTGAAACAAACATCAGTGAACATGTAGCATTTAGAGTTACCTTGGGTTAAGGCAACCAGTTATTTTGGGGGAACTAATATTCAGAAGTAAGGTAATAATAATAATCTTTGAGATTTCTAGATAGGGTTTTTCAAATTACACTTCTCCTGAAGTTAGCTTGCTTCTTTTATTTTTAGGATACATATTCTTCATGTTGTCTTCTCAAAATTTTCTTGTAGAAGGAAACCAACTTTTGAAAGCTTCTAAGTCACAAAGTTTCTCACAGGTAACTGTAAAACTGTAAGAATGACCATTATGTGGCTGTTAGAGAATTCCAGTTATCTTTTACTAGTTCTTAGAAAACTGGAAAGAACAACTCTCATTAAGGTATACGTGTGGGCTGAGGGAGCTGGACTTGTTCAGCCTGGAGAAAAGAAGGCTGCGGGGTGACCTCGTTGCAGCATTTCAGTACCTAAAGGGAGGCTATAAACAGGAGGGGAATCAAGTCTTTGAAAGGGTTGATAACTGCAGGACAAGGGGAAATGGTTTTAAGTTGAGGGAGGGGAGATTTAGGTTGGATGTCAGGGGGAAGTTCTTTACTGTGAGAGTGGTGAGGTGCTGGAACAGGCTGCCCAGAGAGGTTGTAGATGCCCCATCCCTGGAGGTGTTCAAGGCCAGGCTGGATGGGGTCCTGGGCAGCCTGGTTGCATTAAATGTGGAGGTTGGTGGCCCTGCGTGTGGCAGGGGGGGATTGGAGATTGATGATCCTTGAGGACCCTTCCAACCCTGTGATTCTGTGATTCTGTATGAGGTTGAGCCAGTATCCTGTAAAAGACTTAAAATAGCTGTGTGGTGACTTGTACTTGTGCCACTACAAAAAATAACTCACCATTAACAGATGAGAGGATGAAACTTAAGTTGTAACAGAGGCCACATGCCTACAGAGAAGCATCTGGCTTAGGTACCTGTGTGAGCATAAGTTCTGCAGTGGCATCATGAGGATCCAGAATTGGAATCAACTCTGATGATAAGTTGGTTTCTAAGGACCAACAGCACAGTAAGTGACAAATGCTGACCTTTATCATTTCCCAGACTTACACATTCCTGTTTACAAAGTGTCTTGGTAACTTTACAACAACTTCCTTCCTTGTGTTTGCAGTCACTGTCGGCATGAGTAACTTTAGAGATAATTACTAAATGCCACTATTAGTCAGTTATTTAGGCTGTTTTGATTTGTATAATTATGTCAAAGGATGTTCAGTAAGTTATTCAGACTGTGCTTACCACTCTTCCTGGTTCTTACAAATACAGTTTGTTTCAGGATGAGTACTTTAAACTGCTACTGTTGACTAACTTGCACTGTTAAATGGGTGGGCAAACATAAACACCACGTGGCGTTTCTGGTCAGGACTGCCTACAGAATCATGAATTTAAAGCTGATGGATAGGTGAAAGTGACAACCTGTGAGTCTGAGTTAATAAGTTATAATTAAAACTTCAATTGACCGTACAGTATTTTCCTCCTCTGAGTTGGTATGTTCTTCATCCCTTAGTTTATGATATAGAATAGCTGTCTTGAACACAAGACTATTATTCCTGAATTGTAGCTGATCATTAAAAGATTTTTAGCTTTCCTTGTTGGAGGTGTGCAAAACTAGATCAGACAGGCTCCTGAGCAGTCGGTTCTAGCTTACTGTTCTTCTTGCAGGAAAAGCTGGACTTGGCAGTACTAGGCAATGACCAGAAACTTTTCTAACCTCAGATAGTTTGTGATTCCATTTTATATTCTTATAAAAGGTATTTTATGTAGGTTTGGCTTACCCTGCATTTCCAAGGAAACTATGAGTTATGTATTTGATATTTCTTAAGCACACTGAAAATCACCCGAGGCAGATGAAAACGCTGCAGTGATTTCTAGGTCACCTTCAGAGATCATCTGGGGACTTCTGCTGGCTTGCTGCTTCTAGTGAGGATTACCTTCTAGAGACTTTCCTGATGACTTTGTCATTTTACAATTAACAATTGTACAAGCAGCAAGGAAAATATACTGTCTTGCATTATGCTACTCAGTCTTCACTGTAGCATAGAATATTTTCTTTTTCTTTGTGAATGTAGGAGGCTGGCAATTGTTATATTCAGCACTTCAGTATTAATATTTCAGTCATTGTTGGGACTTCTCTGTTAATAAACTGCAAGTTTCATCTTGCTGCTGTGGAACCAAACATCCGAAACTTTTTAATTTGCAGGTAATATGATTTTATTGAGATGAAGAAGAAGTTATTTTTTCGTTATTTTTTCGTTCACTGTTTCTAATCTGTATTTCAGGCACGCGGAAGTGATGAAGAAAATAATAGAGACTGTTGCAGAAGGTGGAGGAGAACTTGGAGTTCACATGTATCCTTTTTCATTACTGCATGCTATTTGTAAGGATTTCTTTCAGTGTAGGGAGCTGTTACTTAAGGGTTCCTAAACTAGAATTCAGTAGTGTGTGAAAGCAATAAACCATGTTTGTGGTAGTACTTAATTAGTTTTCTGGGATGAGCTCCTTTTGTGTAAATGAACACTGCTACTCTGCTGAGGAGAGGGAAGGGCAAGTGAGGAACCAGAGTGGAAAACAAGTAGTATTGAAGGGACAAGATTGAAAGTTTGCATCTCAATTAAGGAGGTAGCTATGAATATGCAATTGAGATCCTGGTGAGGGAGGATGTATTAAGAAGATAAGGCTGGAGTTACATAGACGTTGGCCGGAGTTGGCATGTATTTAAGTGAAGTTTGAGAATCCATGCTTTGATATTACCACATAGTAGACTTGGAAATATCAGATGTACTACTTTGATATTAGATTTGGCTCTGAGATTGATTTTAGTGATTTATTTTAGTTTTTGTTTCACTGTATGCCTCAGTCACAAGTGGACAGACACCTCAGTTTACAATTGTCCAGCATACTCAACATTACAAATTTGGGACCAACAATCGTTTGAAGGTGTATCGTACAGGGAAGACTAAGAAAATCTGCTATTTAAAGGCAAGCTTTTGAGCTTAGCAAAGCTTATTTCTATTTCCCTTCTCAAGAGCAAGGAGCACTTCCAAAGAGTGTTTCAGAACAGCAGCTTACTTTTTTTTCTGAGAGACTGAAACTGAGAAGTTTAAGTTCTTTAAAGAGAGAGTGGTGAGGTGCTGGAGCAGGCTGCCCAGAGAGGCTGTGGATGCCCCATCCCTGGAGGTGTTCAAGGCCAGGTTGGATGGGGCCCTGGGCAGCCTGGTCTAGCATTAAATGGGGAGGTTGGTGGCCCTGCATGTGGCAGAGGGGTTGAAGATTCATGATCCATGAGCCATTCTGTGAGAAGAAGCCTGTTTTCGCTGCAGCTGCAGGAAGGAATTAGCCTTGCTAGGTTCAGTTCGGCTTGGCATTTGTTAATAACAAATGTTAAGTTAGTAAATGGCATTATATGTTCTTGTATGATATTTGTAAGAGTTACTGAAAGTAACTTCTGGTTCCTTGTTTTATCTTGAAAAAGTAAGACTTCTATGTTTGGGCAAGCACAAGTTATTACTAGAGATCTGTTGTATTAGTTTCCCAGTCTCTAACTGTATAATTTCTAAGTGCTATTTTCCTGCTAGCAAGAAGAACAGTTGAACGAAATATTGTAAGTGACTTCTAGTTTGTTTTATGGGATTTCCAGTTTTTACAACTCTTCCTTAACAAGAAATTCAGGTACCTTCTTATTTTCTTGAAATTTGTACAGGCAGTCATTCCAACAATAGAATATGACTACACAAGGCACTTTACAATGTAACTAAGATAAAAGATCCTCTATCAAGTCTTTTTTTTAAATAACCCATCCATGTGACATACATTATACACAATTTCTGTAATTAACCTTTTATCGAGCTGATAGATGAAAATAAAATGTTCCATTACCAGCCTTTTTAATAAAAGTTTTTGTGTGTAATAAATAAATCACTTTCATTCCTGTATAAATACTGCAATAAGAGGTGGATTTTTTTTGTTCATAATTCTTTCAAAATGATTTCAACAGAAAACTTTTTTTCCTCCACACATGGAAGTCAGTCTCCTTTATTAGTAGAATCCGTATGCTTTTGGCTTTGTTGCTAAGATGATTCTCAAAAATGTGATTCATTTATTTTTGTCTGATTTAAATTCACCTGAAAGCGAAGGCATTTTGGGTTTGGTTTTTTTGCTGTTTGTTTGTTTGTTTGTTTGTTTATTTGTTTGTTTTCCCCTTGTTGTGAATGATTATATTTGCTGTAACTGTAGGAAGACTTAAACCTGAAAGAAATTAAGTAGAATCTTGTTAGGAAAACTTAACTGCATCTTAAACTAAAGTAGCTCCAAATAAGCATGCTATGAAAGCTAATTTATATTCACACGAGAACAAGGTTAGCATTTTGAGATGGAATTTTTAGGGAGAGAAATAGTATTAGTGTGCAGTCTGTTGATCTTGTAATAAAGGCAAGAACAGACGTGTTGAAAAAATCCCAGATTGAAGGTAGAGGGTTAAAATCACTGTGTTAGACTAAAGTTTAGTCTTGTAACGTGTCTTGACCTATAGACTATGCTAACTGGTAGCTTAATAGCATGGTTTCCATTTTGAGGGTAACTGTACCTGGTATTGTTTGTGAAGTCAGATATCACAGACGCGTCCTGGTTTTGGCAGCCACTTTTTTCGCTATCAAATGTTAGTTTTTCATTGATGGAGATGGGGAGAAAGGATTGGTAAGTGTATGTCATAGGTTCACTTAAATCTGTGTAGCTATCGCAACATGATTGTCTGCCAAACGTCACCCTGCCAGAGAATCCGAAGTTGGATACCTGTGGCTGTCTGAATTTACTGTTGGAGAAGAAGGCTGGCATAAGGGAACCCTTTCTTGGCTGTTCTCTGTACCATGCTCTTACCTGAGAGCCTGTAACCAGTTCTTTCTTCTGTATTTAAATTAACTTTCCTCTTTTGATATCCATCTTCACTTCCTTCTTGGACAGAATTTAAGCAATGTCTGCGTAAGTGAACAGTAATGCTGGCTGAAACATGATAAAAACCACACCCACTGAGTCATGCAATAAGATTTCCTTATCAGATTCATTTCAAAGATGTTTTGGATTTTTTGGTAGCGGGTGAAATTGTTCTTCACTTAGTGAATAGATTCTTTTTATTTTTTTAATGAGGAAGGGACCAAACAGATCTTATGATTTAAAATTAACCAGCATTAATACATTATGTTGGAGTTTCTGTTTCTTTGCTCTGCCAAAATGTTCTTGTTAGGAGGGTAAATTAGTTTTTCACTGGTTTCCAATATGTTAAGATAGTAATTATGACATTCTTCTTAGTCAGGCTGTTGGTGAAAGTAAGTTGGCATGATTTAAACTACTGAAGGCTTTTTTGTGTGACCATTTCAGATAAACAGGGCAACAGCACTGAAGCCAGCTAGCCAGTGGCTTCCATCAGCACCAGGATATTAAATATTGAATTTGTAGCACTAATATACTCTGAGTACCATAAAGCCCATCCCACACTTGAAAATAAGCAGATACTTGGTGACTAACATGTATGATGCTCTCTATTTGGCTGCATATCAGAGTGGCTGTACCTGACCTGAAAAGCTGATGTGTATGCTTCCACCAGTTAAACTGTACATTCATATTTTCTTCTGTTTGGCACTAGTATTAAAAATTCCTTTTAAAGTGAGGATTGCTGTTGTAGGATCTGCTATAAATTTAAGCAAATACAATAACTTCAGTTGTAGCTTTTAGCAAATTCTGCATGGTCTGAATTTTTCTTCTACGTTAAAAAAGTTCCTGAGAAGTTCTGCTCTTCTGGTGTGCTTTCTCTGCTGCACATTTTATAGTTTCTATGGCTTTACACTTGCCTTCTAGATCACTATGTATCAGTCTTAGACTTTTCTGAATACATCCTAGTTTACAGGTATTGCAGTGGAAACCTGGGTAAAATTCTGATTCCATTGAATCTGAACTGAAGTTGTGGTTTTATTTATTCATTTATTTATTACTAGAGAGAATGGGTTTTGATGAAAAGGGACTAACCTCAGTGATACTAAATGAGATGTGGAAAAAAAACAAACAAACCACATTTATTTATTTAGAATTTTGAAAGTTCAATTCATCTGTTCCTTGTAGGTGTGGGAAAGTGCAGCTGGTTTAACCAGCTTGGTAACAAACAGCCTAATCAGTTGCTAGAAAACCAGAATGCCTGTGTTCTGACCGCTTTTATTCTAAGCAGAAAGAAAGCCAAGGTGGACATGCTGCTATGACTGACTTAGCATGAAGGCAGTTTGTCCTGTTTAGCAAATCAGTTGTAAGACTGAACAAATAAAGAAATCCTAGTACAGAAGTCAAACAGAAACACAGAATACAAGAAGGACTGAGAGTAGGAGCAAAATCCCTTGTGGAATAAGACTGAAAATTTGGGGCAAAAATAAGTAAAAATTTTTTGAGACTGTCATTACTAATGTCAGTGGAAGGTAGTTTTTCTTTCTTAATATGAACATTTTTCAGACCAAAAGGCAACAATGTCAGACAAATATGTCAAATATTTTTGTTCTGCATTTTTGCTGTCCTATAGTGTGTATGACCACAGATGTTATGTGGTCATATAAGGGCTGCACAGAATGTATTCTTATGTGTGCTGCCACCAAATACAGAATGTGTAAGTTGTTCTCAGAAAGAAAGGTGAAGAGTTTCTAAATACTGTTCATTTTCACAGTATGCACTTGTGGCTTTCAACATAGTACATCTGCTTCAAATTTTCTAAAATTAGTCATTTTTTAACTTTTATTAGCTTTAGTGCATTCTTACAGATGTGAAGATATTTATTTGATGGCTTCTCATATGAATTGTGCCTGGTAGATTTGGTAAGTGCCCTCTCCATCTTTTACCTGCATTCAAAACCATGTGTTTGCTGCTGATCAATAATTAACTCACTGTTTGCCCATAGAAGTCCTTTCACCCTTTGCTAAATGAAGTATTCTTACTGGGCACATTGTGCTTTTTGTGTGCTTGAATGGGAGAGGGAGAAGTCTGTGTGAGGTTATTAATAGCAACCAATTCAATAATTGCTATATAACCTTTTCTTTATGCTAGCTCCCTCTTTGTCACAATAATGCAACTGTTAAAACTGACAGCAGCTTTTGAGTTGTTGCTGCCTTGGAGCACTTAGGATAGTGTTTGTGATAAAGCAGAAAGAATTTTGGTATAGGTATAGTAATTTGTAGAAAGAGGAAAATAATTTCAGAGCTCTTTCTTGAAAAGTTATCTATTCTTGATTGCACAGACTCAGTCTAGGCTATTAGGCCTGAAAAACTTATGATTCTAATTTGTTTTAAGGGTCAATCTACAGTGCCACCATTTCAGTATGTTTCTGTTCCAGGACCATAATTACTAGGTGTTGGAATAGACAATACATTTCCTCAGTAGGAAGTAGCTAGCTTTTATTATTAGAAAATACTACTTATGCTTCTCTTTCCATGCTTTGTTTTTATGGAGCATGTGAATATCAATACATCCCAAATATCAATGTGAAAAAATCATGTAAATATCAATATATCCCAAAAGTACTACATAGTTTTTGGGAATAACACTGAATGTCTTTTGTCAGTGTGGACTGGATCCATGCAACTCCATGCATGGCTTTTGCCCACAAAATCTTTCGGTGTTACTGTTGCTGTTTAAAAATAAGGGCAAGCAATGATGACAACAAAACTAGATGCACATACAGTGTTGCCAAGGAGAAGTTGTTAATATTGTAGCTATGTTTATGTATAGACAATAAAATTGCATGGTTTTGAAAGAGCTGAACCTGAAAATGTATTTCTGCATCACTTGTAACATTATTTATTTTAGTATTTTGCAGACAGCCAATGCTAACTGGAAAAAAAAAACAACCACAACTGTAGGCAGTTAATAGAAAAAAAATAGAAAGAATCAGGGTCTTCAGGTTATTAATACTGATGTTCGAAACACTGAAACATCCCAAAGCCTGGAGGACACAGTGAGGTACAGTAAGTTTTTTTAAATTACTACCAAAAAAGAAACAGGCTAACCCAGATGACTTCAGGCTACTCAACTTTACGTGGATCTTATGAGACGGGAAAAGTGAGGAGAAAATAGGTAAATAGCCAACATGGGACTTTGTTCTTAAAAGATTAGAGAAGGCTGATGCATGCTAATCCTTGTAGCTTAATGGAAGATTGGTCTGGTCTATTTTGATCACTTCTTTTAAAACTATTGATTTTATCAGCCAGGTTTGTGAAAAGCGATTTCACTGATACAATGCATTTTTGATTCCTAATGTATTTGATCCCTTTTACTTTTTGATTACTTCTTCATGATTTGGTGTCTGAGAAATGTGCTTCTGGACATGAGACGAACTGATTTAAAAGCGAGGATGGTTAAGTTTTAACAGAATGTACTTCAGAAACAGCTGTTCTTCATCAGTTTTGTACAAATTGTTCATTTGCCCAGAAATTATTTTTTCATAAAATCCAAATTACAGGCATTTTTACACTGTCAAACTTTTAAACACTGGCACTGAAATAAATCCTTAGCCAGAGATAAGATTAGGACCAAAGCAGAAGTGAGACAAATATTGTAACTAATTACTTTAAAATCGTTGAAGCAGTTTGCTAAGGATTGTGGTGGATTCTTTAATCAAAACAATAATTATTTAATAATGAAATACTATTGAACTGTGTACCTAAGATTTTCTCTTCAATAGTATTGCACACACTGTAGTCCTATTTGGTTGTTGCTGGATTCTGGATTTTGAATCAAGTTCATGTATGAGTCAAAGCAGCTCTTGGCTGCAACTACTGAGCTCCATGCAGGTGGAATAGGAGCTAACCTATTTTTCCATGCCTGTGGTTTTTGGCTCTACAAGTTGATTGTGATTTTTTTTTTCAGGTTTAGGCACTGAACTATCCAGAACT